AGATTACGAGCTGATCCGACAAAGGCTAATCATCCTCTTCATAAGATACTACATCAATCAGGTAGCTTAGAAGCAAAACATTTCAAGATCAAGTATATTCGAGATACATATTTTACTCCAAAAAAAAGAAAAAAAGATCAGAATATTTATGATTATAATATATGATAATGATCACTGATAATGAAATTGTTGGTCATAAAAATTTTATAGCAATGTGATAATGAAAACTAAAATCTTAGCATAGTATGGTACCGGAAATCTTAATTCAACAATAAAATTGTAAAATTGTAACATTTAAATATCTTTTAAAAAAATTATAAACATTTAAAATTGACGAATTTTAAACCAAAATTATGTCACGTGAATTAAATTTTATTGGTTGAAATTTTATATAATTCGGGCCAGCACTATAATAATTTGATGTCGGCCTAAATTATCATGATTAATTGAACTCAAAATTTTTTTTTTTACATTTAAATTTAAAATCTGATCATATTTTATGTAAAACAAAGAAATAACAGCAAATTGACAAATACCTAGAAAAAAAAGGACGTTATATATCTCAAGAAGATGAAATACAGATTGTAAAATTAATAAAGAATAGATAAAAGATAAGTTAAAAAATTTAAAAAGATAAAAAGCTTATTAATAAAACACTTAATTGGAATAAATAGCTTGCAGATAAATTAGAGCTATATATATTAAAAATTTAAGAATAACAAAATAAAAATAAAAATAAGAAAATATAAAATTAGAAAAGCATACAAAAGAGATGAAAAAATTTGATACTTTTTTTCAATTAGTCTCTGAAAGTATTAGCATATCAAATAAAATATCATTATGTCTAATTATATAAATTTATTTTTATTACTTGTTAATATTACAATAGCTTAAAAAAATTAATAAATTATACTCAATAAAAAGTCTATAAAAAATAATTATAATACATTTATATATAATTATATTCACCTTTAAGTATATATATGAATTACTAAATAAATAAAACAAGATAATTACTAGTAATCAGATTATTCAATCTATATAAAATAAAGAAAAATATATAGCTTAATATATTAAAAAATAGAAAGATTACTTTATATATATCAGTATAATTGTCAAAATCCATATTTTATAAATGTATAATATTTTCTAAGTTTATTAGCTTTAATAAGAACTATACCTGTTTAATGCATTTCTGCTACTTATCATTAAGAGGATTTATTTTATAAATTAATTTTTATTTATCTAATAATCTTTATTTATAATTTCCTTCATTATTCTTTTAAATATTTTCTCTTTCTATTTATTATATTTCTTATATTTTAATTCATTATTATTTCTTTTATTTAAAGTTCTGAATCAGGTTTTCTAACCTAAAAATTCAGATCAGATCAATAAATTTTTAGGTTAATGTCAGATTAAATCAATAGGTTAACTTAATCTGATAAAATTCAGGTCAACTAAGTATCATTTTTGAAAGATATTTTATTGTTTTTATCATTCAAAAATAATGATTTTATTATTTAAGAATGATGATTTATTATTCAAAAATGATATTTTTATTATTCAAGAATAATATTTTATTATTTAAAATGATTTATTATTATTCTTTTGAATGATAGCTAATTGTTCTTTTTGAATAATTAAATTAAGTCAAATTAAATAAAAATTTAAATCAGGTCAGATTTTTGTTTGACTTGATCTAATTCTTTCAATTTAGGTAATTTGATTGATCTGACCTAAACTGACCTATTTAAAGCTTTACTTTTATTAGATATTTTCTTTCTTTTATATGATTTCATCTTTTCATTCTAATATATTTTTATTATTCTACTTCTTTTTTATTTTTTCTTTAATTATTTCTTTCTTTCTTTTGTAAGTTTTTTCATTTTTTATAATAATTTCTTCAATTATTCTATTTACCTTAAATTTATTTTAAACTTTCTATTCAATTATTTTATTATCAATTTCTAAAATATGATTTTATTCATACTATAATATTGATCAAATTTAACCTATTAATATTAGAAGATAAATTATAAAAGAGATTATACCTAGATAATACAAAATTAATTTGTTTTGATTCTAAAGTAATATTTGCAGATTTTTTTAAAGCTATTTGAATTATATACATATTTATTCAGATTTTTGAGTATTTTTAAAAATTAAATGCATAAAAAAAGAATATAGCATTTTTTAGTGAAATATTATTAAATTTACTGTGAATAAATTTAAAAAGATGAAGTTTTTAATAAGTGTGAAGAAGGAGAAGGTACTATATGTAGAAAAAAAGTTAATAATTTAGCTGCTCAATTTTTAAAATGGTAATAAATTTTAAATAGATTTTTGAATATTAAAAAATTTTAATCATTTCATAATTAATTGTAGAACACATTCAGATATAATAAAAATCCTTGTCTACAGTATCATATCTAGAACATAAAAGCAAGAAGAGATTAAAGTGAAAAATGTTGCTTTTTAATACTCTAATATAAGCAATATTTTAAGTAATTATTAGTATTTTATTTTTTATAATAAAGATATCACATATGATATATAAGCAAAAGCAATATTATTATTAAAAAGAGAATATTATAAGCCAATGAAAATGAATAATATAGATATGTTTAAAAAGAATGTCCAGGCTAGTAAGTTTTGAAATAGACATTTTTTTATAAGTTCTTTGATTAAATTACTGTTTTTTTAGTCATCAAAAGCTCTTAATATAAGCAATTAAGGGCAGATATTACATGGAATCATCATGTTAATTCTAATTCTTTTATACAAACTTTACTTAATATTATAACTAATATTGAAGATCAAATAAATGAAAATCCTAATGAAAATCCTAATAAACATCCTGATGAAAATCTGATGAAAGTTCTGAAAATAATGAAGAATTAGATGATAATGATGAAGATGATGATTCAGCTAATTAGAAAAAGAATTTGGTAATTATTTGCAAGGGTGGGTAGAAATATTAGAAAAGAAACCCCTTAAATTTCAAAATGAAGATAATGAAATTGATAAATTAGTTAAAATAACAATTAATGAAATTACTCATCTTGCAATTGATCCTAATGCTAAATAGAATTTAGATTCTCTTTTTAAGGAATTAGAATTACCTTTTTAATAATAAATAAATAAAGAATATTATCAATTATATAAATAAATATTTTTTTTATTTATTGAATTATAATAAAGCTAAAAAATTTTAACGATCGATCAAATGAGCCGATCTGTGTGATCAAAAACCCGAACGATCAGAAGTGATCGTAATTATGATTGGCTAGTATTCACCTGATGTTATACGCGTCTCAGAATTTTTATACGAAAAAATTTGACTTGGACTATTTCATGGATAGACAAAAGAATTTCGTGGCACCGAAACATCGTTTGCATGATGTCTATGTTACTTCAAAACCATTGAAAGAGTGGCATATAATAGAAGTTTACGTTGGCAAGCTACTGGAGAATAATCCAGGGTTATCAGAAAATGGTCTTTTCGCGACTTGTTGTCAGAGTTTAAGTTCGTTATCAAAACAGGTTCCGGATTGGCCAGAAAGCGTTTCTAAATACGCCTCCACTTTACTTTCAAAATGGAAGGGACCTGAGAAAGGTCACTGGTTTGAAATTGCAAAAAAAGTTATTCAGCGTGTGCGTAACAATGATAAAATCAAAGTAAATAACGCTGAACTTCGGCAAAAAGAAACAATTCAACGGCAGCGATCTATGGCTTGTGCAATTGAACTCGTCACCACCGAGATCGATGAACTACCACGCAAACGTAAACGTACAAGTAATCAAACGTCCAATGAAGAAATTTCAGAGAAGGATGAGGTTTCTTTTACTAATTTTGCATTTCGCAAATAAAGTTGAATTTATCTGAGTCATTAGTAACTAACTTAATTGATATGCAGGAAACTGATACAAATAATACTCCGCCACATTTTACTTTAATAAGTTCTGATAGTGAATCCGATGAAGATGATAATACGAATAAGGAAGAAGAATCTTCTCTTGAAATAAATCTCGCATTGTTTGATGTTGATCAAAGTAAAGGAGATTCCGAGTGGAAATTACAAGATGGTCAACAACTTGTTAAGGTTCTTAATAGAAAGACATCCGAAATGGTTAAACAATTTTTGGAAAAAGACAAAAAACAGCGAACCCTAATTGTGAAGAGTGTTATCAAGTATGGTCTCATATTTTTCTATGTTACAGATAAAATGAAATTTCTAACATGGTAAATACAGGTTAGGACTGTCTTCGATAATTGATTTATCATCCGAGTTCAAAGACGGGATGTATACATGGTTTGAGAAAGATTGGGCTGATATTAAAAGGAAAGTCTATAAAATTGTTGATATGAAACCGAAAGGTTTCGAGGGTGAAGTGAAAAATGTAATAGACATCATTGAAGAGGTAAATAATTATTTATTGACGTTTGAGAATATGTGCATGTTATTTTGTTACTTTGTTTAATCTTTTATGTCTATTTGACTATAATCAGATGTGTGACGCGTATAAATATAATGAAGCCCGAGATTATTTATATAAAATCAAAACTTGCTATACTTCTCAGACGTTAATACAAATAGCAAATATTTATTTTTATGTGTGAGTTTTTTAAAATTTTCTCTCTAGTTTTCGATTTTAATTACATTTGTCACTAAATATTGATAAATTTTATCATTAGAATTGATAAATATTTAAAAAATGCTTTTATTTTTGTTGATAAGTCCGGAAAATGCCAAGAACTAAG